TGGTGTTGAGCTCTGTTTAACTGCGTATTGTAGTGAGAGTTGTGTGCATCTGAGTGAGAGTGGTGGTATATTGGCCTCTGCCTGGAGGCTCTCCACCGGAGAAGTGCGGAAAGCCCCCAGAGCAAGGTGGAGTCCTTGGTTTTGTGTCCTTCTTAACATTGTGTGTGTGTGTGTGTGTGTGTGTGTGTGTGTGTGTGTGTGTGTCCTTCTTAACATTGTGTGTGTGTGTGTGTGTGTGTGTGTGTGTGTGTGTGTGTGTCCTTCTTAACATTGTTAAGCATTAACTGTTCGGAACGAAGTGGCAAAAGAAAGAAAACATTCACAAGTCAGTACATGTGCTCCAGAACGCTTCAAACTTCAAATCTTAAAAAGGCAATCCTGTTCACAATTTTTTCATCATTCCAGTATACCACACACAGCCTCTCAAGATAATAATAAAGCCTCCTGCTTGTGCAGTTGGCTTACTTTGAGACTAATTACTCAAGTTAAAAAGAGATCAATATAATATTTAGGTAACGGATGAGCCTAGGGTAATTTCAAACGATTAGCTCTGCGATGCTATTCTTTAAGAGGTTTACAGTGTTAAAGGACAGTAGAACATTCTGCAATTAAAAGAGGCAATAGGTAACAGCGGTTTAAAGTTACTAAGTTACACATGTAGGATACGTTTGTCTCTTTACTCAAATGTCAATGGATCGGAAAAGTTGTCTCTATACTCAAATGTCAATGAACCACACTATGCTTTTTCCCCCCTTTATTATGACACCTTGGTGCGCATTTTCTTCAACAAGGACAATAGAATGTACCAATGTCCCAATTATTAAATAAAAAGTCAGCCCTAAACCTTCTAAACCATTTTTTTCCCTGTCTTCGTCGTTTGGCTTTCATTAGCTTGGTGTGAGCCTAGAAACAGTGTGGACATCCTGAGGATATTTCTGAACACCATCTATTCAAGTGCTCACCGCCCAGGGTTCTGACAAGAAAGTTTCTGCTCCCCCACTCATTATTTCACTTCTCTGGAGAAGTTATGAAAACTAACAGGAGTTCAGTCTGTGAACAGGACAGCTGTACCTATCAGGGAGCACTTATATTCAAATAACAATATTACATAACTCACATTTACATGTTATAATATCATTAATCAACGGTACTAGAAGCAGGAACCATGCACCATCAAATATCAGCCATGCTCAGCTACATCGAATTAGTTCTGACTGGGTCAGTCAATTGCAGAAGTGACTATTGAGTGTGGGTGGTTAATAGTGACCATCTCCTTGAAGTGGTAAGAGAAATGAGGTAGATTTCTTGGTCAAATCAATAACTGTGGGTTTTTTTTAGCTAATGTACTGGGGTGCCTTCTTACCTTGCCAAACTTAGAAGTGTAACGAGAGAGTTTCTCTTAAATTCTGGGTCGACAGTGAACAAATTACTAAAAGTAAAATAAATGCCACAAGAAAAGAATGTCACTGATTCCTTAAACGGTTTTGGAATTGCTTCAGACAGAATGCAAAATGAAATACTACAACAAAAAATTTCACACCTGACTTAAAAACATTTTCATTATAAAGAGGAACACCCCTCCCATCCAAAACAAAAACACACAAAAAACCCCAACGTAACATCAGCTTTGATGCAGTTAACACACTGAGATGCCAAACACTGACAGCATAATATGACCAAAAACACAAATCAAAACTCATGTACGTAAACTGAAAAAAACCCGATGTAAAAACAGTGACACCTGTTCTCGTTTGTTTTAGTACAGGTTTAACGACGCTCGCAACTGTTTAAGGTCATATGAGCGCCAGAAGATTAGAGGTGTTACAAGAGAGTAACAAACA